ATTTAAAATCCCCTCATACAAATAATTATAGATACAATCTGTATATAATTATTACAATACCCTTTTCAACTTCTCTCATACACTATGGTTAGTGATAAGATTGTTAAATTATTTTTATAAAAAATCTTAGAAAACATAATTATATATTAAAAAAAATCTAAAACAAATATAAATATCTATAATTATCCCATTCTATACTATATATATCAGCAAAAAGGGGTTTTTAACCCCAAGGTCTGTGGGAGTTTCAATATCCCAATCTGAATTTTTTTTTTTCTAAAAAAAAAATTCAACATTTATTGATTTGGTCAAAATCCTCTTATCAGCATTTATTTATTTTTTTCAATCCACATGTCTTTCAACATGCTTACATTTATTGATTTGGTCAAAATCCCTTTATCAGTATTTAAAATCCCCTCATACAAATAATTATAGATACAATCTGTATATAATTATTACAGTACCCCTTTCAACTTCTCTCATACACTATGGTTAGTGATAAGATTGTTAAATTATTTTTATAAAAAATCTTAAAAAACATAATTTATATATTAAAAAAATCTAAAACAAATATAAACATCTATAATTATCCCGTGCATAGCACGGGTGATAGGCTAGTACTATATTAAGCAAAATGAGGTTTTTAACCTCCAAGGCCTGTGGGAGCTCCGATATCCCAATCTGAATTTTCTAAATTTTTAAACTTTTTTTAAAAAAAAATCTCAACATTTATTGATTTAGTCAAACTCCCTTGATCAGCATTTATTAACTTTTTTTAATCCACATATCTTTCCACATGCCTGAATTTATTGATTTGGTCAAAATTCCCTGATCAGCATTTAAAATCCCCTCAAACAAATAATTATAAATACAATCCGTACATAGTTACTGCAGTATCCTTTTCAACTTCTCCTATACACTATGGTTAGTGATAAGATTGTTAAATTATTTTTATAAAAAATCTTAGAAAACATAATTCACATTTTAAAAAAATCTAAAACAAATATAAATATTTATAATTATCTCGTGCATAGCACGGGTGATAGATAATTCACATATATAGATAATTGTAAACACAATCCGTGCATGGAAGCTCCAATCTCCCAATCTGAATTTTTAAAATTTTTTATTCAAAAAAAAAAAAACTAAGCATTTATTGATTTGGTCAAAATCCCCTGATCAGCATTTATTAACTTTTTTCAATCTACATGTCTTTTCACATGGCTGCATTTATTGATTTTGTCAAAATTTACTAATCAGCATTTAAAATCCTCTTATACAAATAATTATAGATACAACCCGTGCATAATTACTGCAGTACCCTTTTCAACTTCTCCCATATACTATAATTAGTGATAAGATTATTAAATTATTTTTATAAAAAATCTTAAAAAATATAATTTATATATTAAAAAAAATCTAAAATAAATATAAATATATATAATTATCCCGTGCATAGTACGAGTGATAGACTAATTTATAATTGGGCAAATTACATATACACCCCTCCAGGTTTGGTTAAATTACAGATACCCCTGAGGTTTCGGAAATTACATCCCGCCCCCTGAGGTTTGTATTTTCATAACAATTTACCCCCTGAGGTTTATATTTCATAACAAATTACCTCCTAATTTTTTATGCAAATATAGCATTCAGGGGGGAATTCGTAATTTCTCAAACCTCAGGGGGTATCTGTAATTTTGTCAAACCTAGAGGGGTGTATATGTAATTTGCCCTTTATAGTTTATTAAAAAAATATATTTTAAAAAGTTGACTTTTGCTTTCTCAGTCCATTATTTTTCTGATTCTTTGAGTAACAAAATTTGGTGAACTTTTGTATAATTATGGGGGTGTCAATTAATAATTGGACATAGACCTATAGACGGCAAGCAAGGATGCGACCAAGAAGCCATGAATGATTTGATCTCGGGAAGAGTAGAAGAAGAATAGAAGATTGAGTGAGGGAGGGGATAAGGTTATTAAGGAAGGAGGAGTAGAAGGAAGAAGAGTGGTGGGTTGTATGGCGGAGATAAAGATGATAGGAGTGGTGGGTGGGGGCCAAATGGGGTCAGGAATAGCTCTCCTCGCCGCCGCAAACGGCATACATGTATGGCTTCACGACACCGACCCCAACGCTCTCTCCAGAGCCCAGAAATACGTTTCCACTTTCGTACAATCCCTCGTTTCCAAAGGACACCTCTCTCAGGTCAAATCCCCTCTATTACTCTCTCTCTCTCTCGGACATGACTTTTTGTATTGGTATCTGAACCTCTCTTGTGATTACCAGACTGATTTTAGATCCTCTTTGTTTCATAGTCATCTAATATCATTGCCAATTTTGTTATACAACCCAAGTTATATTTATATCTGTATCTATCTATCTGTCTATACTATCTCCAATTCTGAACTTTTTCTTTTCCTTTTTTTCCATTAAAAATTTACGTTTTATGAAAAAGTGTTCAAAAACTATCTTCATTAAATATTTATCACATTTTTTTTATATCAAACCCTTGGTCAGATTTGAATTTGATAAAAATTTAAACAGTGGCGATACAGACCCTCCAGATTCCCACCCCCACCACTCCTCAAACATACGTGGGGGTTGGTGAGTGGGGAAGAAGAAGAAAAAAAAAAATTTTTTTTGGACCAATGAAAGGCAGAGGGATTCGTGGAGGTTGCTTTCAAAAGGCGGTCTAAGTCTTTTTTGAAATTTAAAATGATGAAAGATTGAAAAAAAAAATAATTCAACAAAAAATTTGATGGAAAGAAGGGAATTTTTAAAAATATTGATGAAAGGATTAGCTTAACTCGTATCAAATTAAGCTTTTCATTCAAATTTGGAATCAAATTAAGCTTCCTCTACAACTGCTAAATTCAACCATATATATATATATATATATGTGCACACCTTCAAGTATGTATATGTTTATAGTGTGCTTGTATCTGTGTACAAGTTACATCTCTTTATCGTGATAATTTTAGGGAAACGGGGTTAAGTTCTGTGTTGTGTTGTGGACTCTCTGAATTTTGTGTATAGAAATTGCGGTGGAACTGAGTTGTTCTGTTGAGAAATTGTGACGGGATGTGTAATAGTCCATTTGGGAATTTAGAAAAGAGAAGAAAGGATTAAGTTGTGAGAGAAAATAAGAGAAAAGATTTTTCTTCCCTTTTGTTTGGATAAGTAGGACATAAATGACAATGATTTTTCTGATTTATTTTATAGTAAATTACGATGATAATTAATGTACTTTGCTTCTTGTGTTATTTTGGTCATATAATTTCAATTGACTCTGTAAAATAAATTGATTTGTATTTAATTGATCTATTACAAGATTGTTGTGTATTGATTTTGTATATTACAAGCTATTATATAGGAGAGGTTTTGGGAGTAGGTGAGATAGGTGAGTGGTGGTAGTGGATGGTAGTGGAGGTGGTGGGTGGTAGTGGAGATGGTAGGTGCAATGATTTTTCTTATTTATTTTATAGTAAATTACGATGATAATTAATGTACTTTGCTTCTTGTGTTATTTTGGTCATATAATTTCAATTGACTCAATTTTGATTCTAAATTTATGACTTTGTCTCAATTTGGTCTAATAGTTTATAACTCTTGCAATTTTTTTTGTAATGAAAAATACGAAAATAAGTGGCACGTGTCATAATTTTAAAGACAAAAATATGAACTTACTCAATTCAATGAGTTAATCTTAACCAATTCAGTGATTATTTTTTGTCAAAAATACTACCGGCATTATCAATTGGATCAAATTGACATAAAATCTAAAATTAAGGATCAAATTTGATCTAATTAAAAGTATAGGGACTAAAATGAAACAATGGGCAAAATTTAAGAACTATTGATGTAATTTACCCTTTATTTTATAACCATTTTTTCCCGTCTGGTTAGACTAGGTAGTGTTGTGTTGTGCTTTTTTATCAAAATGACATCTATCGGTCTAATTTTTTTTTTAAAAAAAAAAAAAATTCTTTTGCATTTATTTAGATGGACAGCTCTTGGCATTATGGAAGGTTTATTTTCTCTCTAATTTTGGAGTGAGTCAAAAAAATGGGTTTTAAGATAAGAATATTTCTTTTTGTTTCTTCCAATTTTATCCAAACAGGTGTTCAGACCAAGAGATTTCCATTTTTTCTTCAAATCACCCGATCCATAACTCATGTGAGAGATAGGGAAGACTTTTTGAACAGGGAGAACTTGTAGGCAAGACTTTTTGAACTAACACAGAAGAACAGAAAGAAACATAGTGACTGTATGACTAGGCTTTTAACCCTCTTAAGTGAGAGACAAAAGCATCAAAGTTTGGCCTCAACCTTGTGAAAGCAGAATATATATATATATATATATATAAGAGGCGGTTTAATGAAGAATGTAGCCTCAAATTACAGCATTTTCAAGTGTATGTGTGGGTAAATCAATGCTTTAATAATTCAGTGTTGTGTTGTGCTTTTTTATCAAAATGACATCTATCGGTCTAATTTTTTTTTTAAAAAAAAAAAAAATTCTTTTGCATTTATTTAGATGGACAGCTCTTGGCATTATGGAAGGTTTATTTTCTCTCTAATTTTGGAGTGAGTCAAAAAAATGGGTTTTAAGATAAGAATATTTCTTTTTGTTTCTTCTAATTTTATCCAAACAGGTGTTCAGACCAAGAGATTTCCATTTTTTCTTCGAATCACCCAATCCATAACTCATGTGAGAGATAGGGAAGACTTTCTGAACAGGGAGAACTTGTAGGCAAGACTTTTTGAACTTACACAGAAGAACAGAAAGAAACATAATGACTGTATGACTAGGCTTTTACCCCTCAAAGTGAGAGACATAAGCATCAAAGTTTGGCCTCAACCTTGTGAAAGCAGAATATATATATATATATATATATGTATGTATAAGAGGCGGTTTAATGAAGAATGTAGCCTCAAATTACAGCATTTTCAAGTGTATGTGTGGGTAAATCAATGCTTTAATAATTCATGTACATATCTACATATCATTGATCACCAGTTTCCATGCCTTAAGAAGTGTCCATGCTTCTTAAATATAAGAAAAAGATGGAGGTTGTCCTCATAAATTGGTCTTATTATGCAATTGCTTTACTTGGTGATTTGTCCATTTTCTACGTTTTTTTTTCCTGGTGAATAACTTGGTTATTTGAGTTGATGGTTATTGGATTGGTTGATTGGATGCTTTTTATATTTTGTTCAGCCGTTAATATTCTTTTTGCACTACCAAATCATTTACTCATCGAGTTGTTTAAGTGATCAACATTTAGCTGTTTGCGCTTTTATAATGTTTGCATCCTCCTCCTAACAGGCTGCAGGTAGTGATGCTCTCATACGCCTACAGTGTACCTCAAACTTGGAAGATCTTCAGTCTGCTGATGTTATTATTGAAGCCATTGTGGAAGCTGAGGATGTGAAGAAAAAGTTATTTTCAGAATTAGATAAGATCGCAAAAGGTTCAGCCATTTTAGCATCTAATACAAGTTCTATCTCAATTTCCCGTTTGGCATCTGTGACAAACAGGCCACAGCAGGTTATCTCCAGAAACTCTATGACAATGTTGATATTAATTCAAGCTATGGTAGTTGTTTAGTTTCTTAATTAATTGTTTCCAAGTAGTTTGTAGTTGTAAAAGTTTTACTGAAAATGTTTCAAATTGGGTTCTTCCACAAAGTTCTTCATTTACTTTTTATTCCATTTTATCAAGCTTTGACATGATTACTTGTTTGTGATAATTAATTACGTAAATTTGTTACTGACTGTAACTTCAATCTGATTGATCATTTACTATAGAACATCCCGTTTAAATTTAAAAGGATCTTTTATAATTTGCAGGTGATTGGCATGCATTTTATGAATCCTCCCCCAATAATGAAACTGATTGAGATTGTTAGAGGCGCAGACACGTCAGACGAAACGTTTAGTTCAACAAAAGCCTTGGCAGAAAGGTTTTGACTGGAATACCTTATAATTTGATTCTAAATGAATTTCCACTTTCTGCCTAATAAAAATTATAAAGTTGAATCCTCCCAACTCTCTCTCTCTCTCTCTCTCTCTCGCCATTTACTTGAGTGATGACACTGGATTTTTCAGGTTTGGCAAAACAGTAATTTGCTCTCGGGATTATCCTGGCTTCATTGTAAATCGAATCCTGATGCCAATGATAAATGAAGCATTTTACGCACTCTATACTGGGGTGGCAACAAAGGAGGACATCGATACTGGAATGAGGCTGGGAACAAATCATCCAATGGGTCCTCTAACACTTGCAGATTTCATCGGATTAGATGTGTGCTTGTCGATAATGAAAATTCTTCATGCCGGCCTCGGGGACAGTAGGTATGCTCCCTGTCCTCTTCTTGTGCAGTATGTCGATGCTGGTCGCCTTGGAAGAAAACGAGGCATTGGTGTGTATGACTATCGCAACGTAGCTGAGAAAACTGGACCGTTAGCTCGACTTTGAAACTGTTAAAAATTATGTATAATAATATTCCCCAATGGGGGGGAATATAATGAGGAGGCGAGGGAAGAGCACTCGAGCCAAGCTCAATTTCACCATCGAAGAAAATAAATCCCCGATGGAAGCTAAAATTTTATATATTTGCAAGAGTCTGTATGCATGTTAGACATCATCAATTTGTATGCAATGACTTTTGGGAAGCAAGCAGTAGAACCTAAATAATACCATGGAAATTACTGTGATATTTCATAATCCTCAGAAGGTGGTTTATGTGTGTGTGAGAGAGATAAGAGAAATCAGAACTAGACAATTTTCATGAGGTCTTGGTTGCTTGTTTTTATTTTCTTTCCATGTTCTGTTTTATATTTTTGTGTTTACGGAACCAAAACAATGAAAGGTTAAAAAAAATCCGTTGTTTTCAATTTTGTGAGAAAATAAATTTTGAAAATTCGAAGATTTTTTTTGGTATTTCCAAAAATAAAAGGTTGTTTTCAGAAGAAGAAAAAATATTCAATACTATTTTCGGAAAACAATTTACCAAACGAGCGCAGAAGAAACACCACCCATAATCTTTGTCAATCTGTTCTCTGATAATCTCATCCTGATATCTGATTAAACAGCTAGCTGATCCACAAAACAAATTAAATGAAAGACTTGAAAAAAAAAAAAAACAAAGTATGCCCTTATCTATCAGTATTCAACCCCATGTCAATGCAAAATCATTGTTTTTATTGCTTGCCAACCTAGAAACAGAGCATGAGAGACAAAGGAATCAAAAGCAATCCCTCATGACCCACCAACCCACATGGTGTGGTGTGTGTTTTTAGAGTAACGAATTCCCATTGTTGATCATGTTTTGTCTTTATAGGTAAGCATCTTCTACAGTGAAAGTGACTTAAATGGAATCCAAAGTTCAATAAGTACTCATAATTTATGAAATAGAAATTTGATTGAAGAGAAGATAGAGAAAGAAGACATAAAAGCTTCAACTTTATAGACCTTGAGGTTTATCTGAAACATTTTTCAGATCAGGAGAGAGAGAGACAGAGAGCAATGAAGTTCTTGTTCCAGTGCCCGTGTTGCTCCTGTTTCTGCTTCTTGAAGCCGAAGAAGGGCAAACCGAAGGAGAAGGAAGCCAAGGTAGAGGAGAAAGAAGACAAGAAAGAGACAAAACCGAAGGAGAATGATGCTGCTTCTTGAATCCGCATTGGCTATGATTCTACGAATAAGGAAGCTACAAGTAATGCAACTAGAAATTCCATGGAGAGTTCGATCTTGACTCGGCATATATATATATGAGGTTATGAGGCAATGCTAGTTCAATTCATTTCATGATAATAAATGTTTTAGGTACATACTTTTTATCTTCTCTGCTCGGGTGATTATCCTGGTTTGCATGAGCAATTCTATGTACTTTTCTCTTCCAAGTTCTTCATGTGAAGTGGCTTCTCTTCATCTGGAGCCTCTTTTTATTGAGAGAGTGTCTAATCTATATACAAAAATGCTAGAGGCCCCAAAAATTCTATCAAAAGTTTTACCAAATGTCTCACATGGTGTGGGACTCACATGGGATGAGCATGGTCTGGATTGGGGTAAAATCATGACCAATCTGTTATCTACGGTTCCTGAAAAATTGAAACCAATCCAATCCGTTTAAATCGTGAAACCAATCCGATCCAATCCATTTAAACATGGATTGAATCGGTTTAGGACTACATATTCACATAATTAAATAACAAAAAAAAAATATATAGAATATTTTAATTTCACAAAAACATAAATATAGCATCATATTAGTTCCACAATAGCAACATGTATTTCTATAATAGCGACATACTGTTTTAGAATTTAAACAATCATAAAAAAATTAGGTCCACCATAAGTATTTAGACCATTACAAATTAAAAGTAAACCAACAAACAAAAATAATAAAAGAAGATATTATACGGGTTTGGGTTTAGGTTTTATATGAAATAAGAGAAGATACTATGCGGGAGGGTGTATAATATAAATATAGGCCATTTGTATACGATCCAGATTGGTTCCAATCTGGAATCGTGGGGTTAATCCGGAACCGATCCCTGGACTACAGATTTTTAATTTTTCAATTCGGAACCGAACAATGGATTCAAAAAACCAATCCAAATTTATCGGATTGGACTGGACCGGATCGGATTACAGATTTCACGAATTCCTTGCTTAGCTCTACTTCTTCCATACCTATTGCTACACCCTTTTCAACTTCTCTCGTAGACTATGGTTAGTGATGAGATTGTTAAATTATTTTTATAAAAAATCTTAAAAAATAATTTGTATATTAAAAAAATATCTAAAACAAATAGAAATTCTTATTCAAAAATAATAAGTTGCAATTGCGAAAAAAATAGAAAACACAAAATTACACTATGCATTTTCATAAATAATGAAAAATGTACAAAGTGTTTGTATAAAGGCTTAGCACGTGTTCACTCTCAAATTATCAAGTGAATATAGATAAAATCAAAGAATTCATTTTAAATAGACAAAATTTTACAAAATTTATTTGTAAGTCTCACTTCTTGAAAATCCTAAAATTCATTTTTTTTTTTGAATTATATTTTATGTTTAGTTTTTGTACTTTTTTTTAATGTAGTTTTCTTTTTTTTCTTTAAAAGTTTATTTTTAAAAATTAATAAATAAATAAGTAAATCATTTTCTATTTCAAACAATTTCATTTTTGTTTTTATTTTTTATTTTTTCTTAAAATAGTTTTAGTTTTAGGGAAGTACTTACCTTTTTTTCCCTATATATTGTAATTTTGTTGTAATTTTGTACATTTCAAGTGCATGATATTTTCACTAAACACACTTGGAGATACATTATGATAGAAGTATCATGCAAAAATCGAGTAAGAAGAAGAAAAATAAATAAAACCATACGATGAATGTGGAGCAAAGATTAAAACTCCCAAAGCAAGCAAGTAAACAAACAAACAAGTATAATAGAATGTTTAACATACATTTGAAAATTTGCAACAAAATTTTATTACTTTCATTTTTGTTAAGAAAATTCTATTTGGTACTAGCTAAATAAAATGCTTTTTTTTTTTTAATTTGAAATTAAAACTTTAGTAAATTTATATAAGCATAATTGCTAATTACATTTTTTACTTAATGTATAATATTATATTGATTACCAATTTCAGGTTTATTTTTTTAAGTATTTACATAGAAGTAAAACAATGTCGTTAGGAATAAATTTCTTCTTAATTTAGTTATAAATTTTGAATAAAAACAAACATAAAATAATTGATTAAAGATATGTTGTATTTGTTATATTTCTTTTTCTGTATGCAAAAAAAAAAAAATATTTAAATAATTATAAACATAATCCGTACATAACACAGGTGAAATACTAATTTATTTTTACTTCCAAATGCTTTGTAAGGAAATAAAAGGTAATTAATTGCTTTCAAAAGTTTGTGTTTGTGATCCATCTACATCTACCTTTGCTGAGCCAAGTCAACATGGTGACCTCATTGAAATATTTTAGCAATGAGACTTGAATGTGGCCCAGCCACGAGGCCCACGAGGACACGATATGTTGGGTCGTTTTGAATTTGCTTTTTTTTTTTTGTTAATTTTTTTTTCTTATTTGGTGAACTTTCAAAAATAAATAAATAAAAAATTTAGATTTTAAATTTTACTTTGACTAGATGAGTCAGGAAGTTTTTTTTTTTAAAAAAAAGAAATTTTTTAGTTTTTTTTTTAATCATGTCTTTTTTTTTTTTTATTAATCTTCTTGTGCCATTGGCCCCAAGCACTGGGTTCGGGGTGGTTTACCGTGGGCCGAGTGCCTTGTGGGCCTATCTTGTGGGCCTATCCATGTCAATTACTAAAGACAAAAATTATAAGAAAAATGAACTTTTTAGCTAGAGGCCAAAGGATGTTAATACATCTAGGATAAATTATACTGAATTTTTTTAAAATTAAAAAAAAAATTCTATAATTTTAACACAATATATTTTTATTTTTTATTCTCTTATCTTAAAATATTTAATATCGTCAAGCTATGTTTCCAATTTTTTATTCCTTAAAATTGTTTCAAATAAAAATAAAAGGATAAATTACAAATACACTCTTGAAATTTGCTTAAAATACAGATTAGCCCCCGTGGTTTGAAAAATTACAAATGCCGCTTCATTATAATTTTTTTTAACCAAATTAACTAAAAAAATAAAATTCATAATTGCTCTCCTATACAATAATAAAATTACCTAAATTATTAATTGAAATATATTTTTACCATAAATAAAAACCGTTAATTGACTTAATGATTTATTAATAAAATGAATAATTTATTGTGAAATTAAAAGTCACAGCAGATGGAATGCCATTTTAATTTGTCATAAAATTAGAAATCTCAAAAAGTGAAATGTAATTTTAAAATCACAAAAAATGATTTATATTTTAATAAAATCTTAAGAAGTGTATTTATAATTTACCAAAATATAAAAAAAGTTTAAAAGAAGAAAATATTATTCAACCATCTCCGAAAAGGTGCATATAAAGCATCTTAAGCGGACAAAGTCAATATTGCCTGCTCAACAATCAGGTGTTTTTTTTAACCTTTGAAAAAAATATCAATAAAAAGCGCAATGGTATCTCCTTGACTTTGAAATTCTAATTGAATTCTAATAATGTGATAAGAAAAAAAAAAAACTAAAATATCACAAAATCCATCTATTGGGATACTTTGTTGTCCTGGGAAGCAACTTTGTCATTTCCATTTTCTTCTGATTGCGCCCCATGCAATGATAATTCAGACCTCTGATTTTTCATAGGAAAAGAATTATAAAATAAAGGGGGGAAAAAACCCAAATGAAGATAGTATATGCAAAAATCATGTAAGCATCCTATTCAACTAACCAGCTGGCTCCTGACAAGATAAGGAAGTACATCCTGCCTTAAGCTTTGAAAAGTTTCTTTTTGATCAAGTATTTCTTGCAAAACAGACCTTTTAAAGAAACAAGCAAACTTAAGTAAATAATAGATAGATTTTAGAATGAATGAATTAAAAGATCACTTTGAAGAAAAGAACAAAACCTCAAACCTCTTGAATACATACAAATGAGCATCCATCAAATCAGCGCGGATTTCCATCTACACAAGCAATGAAAAACAGAGCCCCCAGTAAGAACCAACTACCAAGTCGAAAAGGTCTTAAAAAAGGCAACAAAACAAGGAACAAAGAGTTATTACACATTATTAGATATCATGTGTGCTTCCCCGTGAGCAATAAATCAAACTGGTGACTGAAATTTCTAATCAGTTACGCAGGCCCACAAGAGCAATAGATCAAACTGACAAATGATTTTCTTTTTTCTTTCCTTTTCTTTTCTGGTACAGAATAAAATTATTTTGTATGCCAGCAGAGAAAGATAAGAAATAGCTGTTTTAATGAAGGAGATGAAAATGAGGAGGCAAGAAAATTTAGGGAAAAGAGAAGATGTCTTTGTACCCAAGCAAAAGGAAAAAAAGAATTTAATTGTTGTCACATGCTGAGTGCATTCTTCTCTTTTCCCTAAATTTTCTTGCCTCCTCATTTTCATCTCCTTCATTAAAACAGCTATTTCTTATCTTTCTCTGCTGGCATACAAAATAATTTTATTCTGTACCAGAAAAGAAAAGGAAAGAAAAAAGAAAATCATTTGTCAGTTTGATCTATTGCTCTTGTGGGCCTGCGTAACTGATTAGAAATTTCAGTCACCAGTTTGATTTATTGCTCACGGGGAAGCACACATGATATCTAATAATGTGTAATAACTCTTTGTTCCTTGTTTTGTTGCCTTTTTTAAGACCTAACCAAATTAACTAAAAAAATAAAATTCATAATTGCTCTCCTATACAATAATAAAATTACCTAAATTATTAATTGAAATATATTTTTACCATAAATAAAAACCGTTAATTGACTTAATGATTTATTAATAAAATGAATAATTTATTGTGAAATTAAAAGTCACAGCAGATGGAATGCCATTTTAATTTGTCATAAAATTAGAAATCTCAAAAAGTGAAATGTAATTTTAAAATTACAAAAAATGATTTATATTTTAATAAAATCTTAAGAAGTGTATTTATAATTTACCAAAATATAAAAAAAGTTTAAAAGAAGAAAATATTATTCAACCATCTCCGAAAAGGTGCATATAAAGCATCTTAAGCGGACAAAGTCAATATTGCCTGCTCAACAATCAGGTGTTTTTTTTAACCTTTGAAAAAAATATCAATAAAAAGCGCAATGGTATCTCCTTGACTTTGAAAATCTAATTGAATTCTAATAATGTGATAAGAAAAAAAAAATTAAAATATCACAAAATCCATCTATTGGCAAATCTCATCTCATATATATATATATATATATAGTTTTCAAGAAGCCAAATTGGTTTTGGCATAGGAAAATGTTATTTTATTAAAAAATTGCTTCTGATTAATAATATAGTAAAAAAAAATTAACAAATAAAATAGTGCAAATTTTATAGAGATTTGAAAGCAAATATAATAAATTTTATAGGTTCCGTTTGGCAAAGGCTTTTGTGGTTATTTTAGTTATAAAAGACAAAATATGTTATTTTAACTACAACAAATAAAATATCACATTCAACTCATAATCATTATACGCTTCTCTCATAAAAAAAGTTAAAAAAGTCAAAAAGTCCTTTTTAAACTAAGCTTTTTAACCCAGGCTAAAATAGCCAAAAAAGCCAAAAAACTAACCCACTTCATAATTTTAACTTAATTCTATTAAGTTTCTTTAAAATTTTAATTCACATAATACATAATTAATTTTTTTTAATATTTTGTTATTCATAGAAAAATAATGTTATCATCACTTATATATATATATATATATTTTCTTATTTACACTTGTCACTTATTTACATTAGTTTTGATCCTTTTAACATTAAAAAAAAAAGTTAATGTAATTATATAAAAAAATATTAGATTACTTACATTTTTAGTTAGTGTAATTTATCTAATAAAATAATACAATCCACATTTCTTTAATAATTAAAAGATTGAAAAAATTGTATAATAATATCTCAAATTCTGTGAAATTATGACTCATTTACACTTTAGCATTTTAAATTTCAAAATGCAATAATTAAGCCTTTCAACCTATTATTTTGTTGGAAGTGGGTCGCGCAGCAGCGTCTGCTGTGTGATAATTTGGGCTCATTTTGAGCCTCATTTTAATAATTTAAACTGTTTATATTTTAGAATACGTCAAGTAGAACATACTTACAAAAAATCAAGTTAATCAGATATTGTTTACCCATTCATCTACTTACATTTGTATCTATAAAAATAAATATAAACGTATTTTAACTTGATTAAAATGAATACAAATGTGAGTGGATGAATGAGTAAACGCTATCTGATTAACTTGATTTTTTGCAGACATATTTTACTTGACGTATTTTAAAGTGTAAACGATTTAAATTATCAAAATGAGCTTCAAAATGAGCCTAAATCGCGGCACAGTAGACGCTACTGCGCGGGCTGCGCAGCAGCGTTCCCACTTCCTATTTTGTTACCCTTGAAACCTTTTGTGAGGTTTATCTCCCAAAATTTAAATAGAATTAGGCCGTGTGTCAAACACATAACGCACTTATTAATTTTTTGGAACAATAATACATGTTATTAATTTTTTTTAACCCTTATCTAGTGATCTCATTTCACTTTGTCTCATTTATTTTAGTGGCAAATTACGAACATGATCACCAAATAAGAATATTATTATCTTAAAAATTCAATAAATGTGTCATGTGTTTTATAAATAATTTAATTTTCTGTAAATTCTTAATAGAATCCTATCATAAAGGAATTAATTGTAACAAGATAAATATTTTAAGTGGTTAATTGTTGAGTTTTTAAAAAAAGACAAAATATAGATGGATCATAATGAAATTTAAGGGGTTATTTGGGATGTTCTAAATAAGTGTACTTTTTGTCTTTTTGGACTAAAAAGTAGAGAAAAAAATATGAATGTTTGGATTAACTTTGACTTTTTTTGAAAAAATGTGTATTAAAATATTGTATAAAATTATAAAATTATGAAATTACCCTCGCTGACCTTGCGTAGTGCACTTTCTGTCACTTCTCAAATTTTATTTTATTTTTTTTATATGGCATGTGTGGTTACAAGTGTGCCACGTTGAAAATTTTGTTGGAATGTGTGATTGTGCAGCGCTATTTTTTTCTCGTTTTGTTTTGTTTTAATTGACAGATTTCCCGCCAAAAAGAGGTAAATAATATGCATTTTTTTGTTTTTTTAATTATTTTTTGGCTTTTTAAATTTTTTTGAGGATGCCAAACTTGGCTCATAAAAATAAAAATTGTGACGTAGTAATCTACTCATTTTGTTCTAAAATATTAGTTCCTTATTTTATTTTTTATTATCCCAAAATATTAGTCCATTTTTAAAAATCAATAAATAAAATAATATGAATTGACTATTTTGCCATTCTTTTAAATTCATTAATAATAGATTATGATAATTGATATTCTCAAAAAAAAAAAATACCATTAAAGGATAATTTTAAAAATTAATATTTTTAAATATAATTATTATACTATAAAAAAAATTAAATTCTTCGAAATGAACTACTATTTTAATGGCGAGTAATGCTAGAGACTCCAAATATTCCACCAAAAATTTTACCAAATGTCTCACATGGGTGTGTGACCCACACAATGTGGGTCCCATGTGGGTCCCACACCCATGTGAGACATTTGGTAAAACTTTTGGTAGAATTTTTGGGACCTCTAGTATTTTTGTTTTAATGGCTAGTTTAGCAATTCCATAAAAAGTCAAAAAATTACCAAAAAAAATTAAAAAGTTATTACTATTCACCAAAAAAAATAAAAAAATTAATATACATAATATTAATTACCAATCAACTTCATGACGGCCTATGTACAGACATGAAAGCAGAGGAGTGAAAGGAAAACAATAAAATATTACATGTGTATTTTCATTAAATTGGATGGTAAAGTTGGACCCGTGGGAACCACCACGGGTTCCGTTTTTCTAATTGGAACCATTAATGTGTAGAACTTGTTGAGTACTATATATCTGTAAAAAATCACGTCTGTCAGATATCACTGACTACATGATCAAATCAGTTTTGTATAAAAAATGTATGGTGTTATAGTTAACATGTGACAAAAAAAACTAACACGATCAAATAGCTATCGATATCCAATGAACATGATTTTTTACAAAAATATAGTACTCGACGAGTTCTACACATTGAACAGTTCCGATTAAAAAAAGGGACCCGTGGCGGGCCCCTACGAGCCGAACCACACCGTCCAATCAAAGGCCGAAAAGTAAGCAATCTTTTCCCATATCCATTTTAGCCGCCGACGCACTGCCCAACTGTATGGATTCATTAATTGTCTCTTCTATCCACTTATTTATACAATATTTTAATATATTTTTTTTTTATAAAAAGTCAAAAAATTAACCTAAATATCTATGCTTGTGTTTGGCAAGAGCTTTTTCAGGTTTTTTTGGCTATTTTAGCCACAAAAAACAAAATAGGCTATTTTAGCCATAACAAACAAAACATCACATCCAACCTATAATCATTACATTCTTCTCTCACAAAAAAAGTCAAAAAAGCCAAAAAGTCAAAAAGCCCTTCCCAAACCAAGCTTTTTAGCCCAGGCTAAAATAGCCAAAAAAACCAAAAAGTCAAAAAGCCAACCTACTTCCCAAACCAAGCCTAAGGAGCCTCCCTAATTTATTTGAAAATTTATCAATTACGCACATGGCAACCCACCTCAAAGTGTAGGCTTTTAACGAAAAATAGTGTTTCAATTAATTAGGCTATCAATTTGTTATTAGGGTGAATTACGCTAATAGTTCATGTAGTTTAGGGTTCATATCACTTTGGTTCCTGACTTTTTAATTGTAACACATTTGACTATTAATTTTGAATCTTGTTTCAAATAAAAACAATTGAATATATCATTGCTCAATTTCAAGGGCAAAGTTAACAATTTGATAAAATATAAACTAATTTAACAAAAATAAATGTCAAAAAAATATTTTTGAATTTTTAAAAATAATTTCTACCCACCAAAAATAAAATTATGTAAGTAAAGATTTATTATAGATTTAATTTTAATAATTTAAGTCGTTTAATGTGTAAAACTCGTCGAATATTATATATTTATAAATAATTATATTTATCGGATATTAATAACTACGTGATAAAATTAATTTTATATAATAAAAATAAATAGATGACGAAAAAATAAACTATTGATAAAAATTTGATCCGATAAGATAGCTATCAATATCTGATCAATGTAATTTTTTACAAACATATAATACTCGATAAATTTTCCACATTAAATATTTCGGATTATGAAAATGAGAACCGTAATGAACATGCAGGGATCTAACAGCACTCCCTAATCCGGGGAGGGTAGCCCAGCCCAAGTGGTTTTTATTCCATTGTGTTACTAATTTAATAAGCATCTTAACAAGGAAAAAGACAAGACGCAAATCAAAAACAAGAAGACAAAGAACAAGACACCAAAATAGAAGATAGATACATAGATATACATAGCAAAATATATAAAGCCTTGCACCAAAAAATATATATATATACATATATATAGAGCCTAGCCTAGAGAGAGAGAGAGATGTCTGTGAACACAAATGGTTCAGAATCTTCTGATGTTATTCCTCTGCTAGACTACTGTGGTGGTGGTGGTGAACATGAACATGGTGGAAGAGACGGTGGTGATAGGTGGTGGAACAAGGTGTTGGATATGGAAGAAGCCAAAAAACAGGTGTTGTTTTCGATGCCGATGATAATTACCAACGTTTCTTACTACTTAATACCTGTGGTGGCTGTCATGTTCGCCGGCCACCTCGGAGATCTCGAGCTCGCCTCCTCTAACCTCGCCAATTCTTGGGCCACCGTCACTGGCTTTGCTTTCATGGTATTCTCTCTCCCTCCCTCTCTCTCTCTCTCTCTCAACAATTGATAATGTTATAGGATAATAATTTGCAAATTGAAATTGTATAAAGAATAATCCACTAGCATGATTTACCAGACATTTTGTACCAAAAAAAAATTGGTTTGTATATTAAGGACTATTTTGGAAAAATAGTCATAACTAATTTTTTATTATAACCAATTTTTTTGGTTAAAAGTTGATTAAAAATTAATTATAACTATTTTTTTTTAGAGAAGAAGGTGAATTTTAATCTAGAAAGTGCACTTTCCAAAAAAAAACCTTCCAATACTTTTATTTTTTTATAATCCGGTGTGTGCATCACCCCCATTAGGCCTTGAAATTTGTGACCAGTCAAACTTCTAGGGGTGGTTTATAAAAAATGTGTAGGAAAATAAAGAACGTGAGTAAAAAAATAGAACAGAAATATTAACACATATTGATTGATATGATCTAAATAAATGTATATATATAAAAAAATATATATTTTTTTAGTATATGCCAAGCACCTACCTAGTATCCTAAGATTTGGGATGTTTGCATTTTATAAAATTTGATTTGTAACCTTTTGAATGATAGAAAAATATTAGAAAATTTTAATTGAATATTTTTAATCTATATCTAATGATATGAAATTGATTATATGAAGGGGTATTTATACTCCTGATTTTGGGAAATTATTTAATATTTTTGGAGTATCACATGTCTGTACTCTCTAATCAATCATCATTCAATATGCCTCTCATATTTTCTAATCACCCAACACAATATCTCACTTACTCACCTTCTTTACTGATTATAATACTATAAAATACCACATATCTATATTGTAAAATTACTAAATAAATACCTCCTCATTCTAACTCATTAGAGATTAAAATGAAAGTAATATATTGGGATGCAACACCACTCTAAATGATAAATTTTTTGGTTGCTTCTCTTCTCTTTTAGCCAAAACCCTTAAAAAATTACTATTACAATTTTTTTTGAATAAATTTTTTTAGGAAAATGATTTGTCCCCCGAAATTCTTCCCCCCGAATCCTCCTAATGGCCAAAACAACGTCGTTTTGGCCATTTTCTTTCCTTTTTTTTTTTTTTTTTCCTCTTTCCATTTTCGACCTGCAACGCAGAAGAGGGAGAGGGAGAGAAAGAGAAAGAGAGAAGAAGAGGGGAAGAGAGAAAAAGAGAAGAAGAGGGGAAGAGATCGTCACCCAGCCCGTCGCTGCCGATCGCCCAGCCTGTCGCCGCCGTTGCCCAGGTCCAATCGTCGCAGCAACAGCTCCGCCGTCGCCTCCAGCCCGCCTCCGCCTCCGCCTCCTCCCACTGTTATGGCCCCCTCTAGTCCACTCCTCCTCCTTCCTTCTCTTCTCCTTCTCTGCTTCTGAAAAAAAAATAGAAATTAGGGAGATTCGGGAGAGCTCATTTTCGAGCTCCCTAGCACGGTCCATTTGTTTATTCGTAAATCCTTAATCTTATTCTAGCGAGTTGTTCAAAATTTTTTCTGAAAAAAAAAGAGAAGAAGAAAAAAGCTTGAAGAGACATTTTTGTCGTCATTGCAGTTATAATTTGGACGAAGAATAATTAACCTTGATCGATTTCCAAGTTTTCATTATTTATCATATTTTGTTTATTATGCAATAATATTTTGAGAAGTTAGTAAAAATTGACTTTTTAGTTTTGTTTTTTAATTTTTTGGTGACTTTTTTGGCTAAGTGTTCGTATGACAATGATTTTCTTAGTTGATATTTTGATTTTTTTTTTGATTTTTCAGCCTAAGATTTTTTTGTCATTTGGTATTTTTGTTTAGCTTTTTTAACTTTGAAAGTATCTAAAAAAAATTTGAGGGTACGAACTCTTATAATTTTAAATTATTTTAAAATTTTTAATATAATATATAATATTTTTCAAATTTCTTGAGGTGGAGCCACCCCTAACCCCTTAGATCGATCATTGCATTCACTTTAATGTCCCACTTGGTTACAAGTTTGCGTTACTAAGCTCGACTGTGGTCCCAATTAATTATCTATTCTAATATATAAAGTAAAGGTTTATAATGATATTAACATATTTGTATCTTATATTTTGAATTTTTCTAAAATACCTCTATGGTTAATATTTATATATAAAAAAGAAGATAAGAATTAAAATTAATATCATGATAATAAACTCTTAACACTTAAACAACAAATATTATAAGCATATTTTTTTTATTATTTTTTTTATACCGTTGCGTTTTTTTAATTGCACACGCATGTGCAACCACTAGTTACCATCGAAAAAAAGGCAGAGAGCAAGTGGGAAAAAAATTCTGGACCTCATTATGCTAATGTCAACCACACTATTTTGGTGTAGAGTCTGCTATGGCAAGTAATTATTTGGTTGGTCACGACGGTCACAAGTTTCAAGCCATTCATAATGAATTTGTGTAGTAAAAAATATAATGAAATGAACCTAACATTTTGACCGTCCCAAAAAAAAGAGATTAGATATTGTTTTTTTTTTCTTTTTTTATAAATGTTACTTCATCAAAATTTTTAAAATTTTGATATTAGAATGATAAGACAGTATTATTTATGTAATTAAACACATTTTAATTGATTTTTTAAATTTATAAAAATATTTTAAAAAATAAATAATATATATTTTTTGGTGTAAAAGGAAGTCCAAGATTATCTATAAAGCAAGAGTATTTTGAAAAATAGAGAGTATTTGTACTTTTTTTTTTTTGAACAAGAGTATTTGTACCTTAAGAGCATGTTTGATTGAGTGGATTAGAGCATGAGATTGAGATTATTAATCCGTGGGCTTAATTATCTTATGTTTGTTTTAACATTTTGGTTTAGGATTATTAATCCAATGGATAATTAATCCAACAAATTTGTAAGATTATTAGTAATGGAATAGGGGTGAGATTATTAATCCAATAGATATTAATCCAATTGGATAGTGAATACCATATTAATTTAATAGGATTATTAATACTTTATTATTAATCTTGTGAATCAAACATGACCTAAACGATACTTTTATATATGCATACATATCACAAGGATACAAAAACACAAACTTTATTTTTTGCTTTAATTTTTGTCGTATTTGGAGATATTTAAATGTATATCCAAGATATACCTCAATTTACTAAATTTATTAGATTTTTTTTTTAATTTTAAAATTAAATTTTGATTTGTAAATTCTTTAATATAATACTTTGATTTATATTTTAATTTTAACATTAAAATGTGAGTTATAAGTTGGATCCTTAATTAATTAAATCATTTAATTATTTTTCATTAATTTAAATTAAAAATAAATTCATTCAAACATGACCTAAATGATACTTTTATATGCAAACATATCACAAGGATACAAAAACACAAACTTTATTTTTTGCTTTAATTTTTGTCGTATTTGGAGATATTTAAATGTATATCCAAGATATACCTCAATTTACTAAATTTATTAGATTTTTTTTATAATTTTAAAATTAAATTTTGATTTGTAAATTCTTTAATATAATATTTTGATTTATATTTTAATTTTAACATTAAAATGTGAGTTATAAGTTTAATTAAATCATTTAATTATTTTTCATTAATTTAAATTAAAAATAAATTCATTTTTATCGTGCCATACTTAGGCCTCTTTTGACAATATTTAAAAGTCAATTTATTAGTTCAAAAAGGCTAGAGATCCTAAAAGTTCTTTCAAAATTTTTACCAAATATCTCACTTGGGTGGGGGGCCTACATGAGACTCACATGGTGTCATGTGGATCTCACATTCATGTGAGACATTTGGTAAAAATTTTGGTAGAACTTTTAGAATCTCTAACATTACTCTTATTAGTTTATAAGGAAAATTATTTAATATTTTCGGAGTATCACGTGGTTATACTTCAAGTCAATCATCAATTACGTAGTCTCATGTTGTTCCCCATCCCCAACATGAATTGTGGGCTCTTACGCCTCTTCACCAATCAAAATTTTATAGAGCACCACGTGTCCATATTCCGAGAGTATTGAATAATCACCCATTTATGAGTAATGCTACAGAGTCCAAAAATTCTACCAAATGTCTTATATGGGTGTGGGACCACACTGTGAATTTCACGCCACCCCATGTAAGACATTTGGTAAAAATTTTAAAATTTCTAACATTTTTATTAATTTATTTAGAACACATCATTTCTCTACTTTTTATATGTCTTTTCGTAATTAAAAAAAAGGCAATTTATAGGTACTACCAAAAACAACCTTAACCTTAACTTTTTTTTCTTTTTTTTTGACATTCTGCATAGCTAATTACTGCGTCTTCTATCCTTAAAATTGCTTGCAACAATACTGTATGCAAAATCGAGTCTGGGCTTGTGGGTCAATCATAGCTCAGTTTCAATGTTATGATTCTCTAATTTTTTCGACTTCATGGGTAAAACAGCAAAACAATTTTTTTTTGATCTAATATATTAAAGTTATTCCGACCCCTTTTTTTTTGGTGGATGATATATATATTCAGCCTCTGTTTATTTCAGACAGGCCTAAGTGGTGCACTTGAAACACTATGTGGGCAAGGCTATGGCGCAAAACTGTACAGAATGTTAGGCATATACCTCCAAGCTTCTTGCATCATATCACTCTTCTTCTCCATCATTGTCTCAATCTTATGGCTATATTCAAAACCCATTCTGATCTTACTCCACCAAGAACCTCAAATATCAGAGTCTTCTGCTCTCTACATCAAGTTTCTAATCCCGGGCCTATTCGCCTACGGCTTTCTTCAGAACATCTTGAGGTTTTTGCAGACACAGAGTGTCGTTGCGCCTCTGGTTGTCTGCTCTGTGCTCCCACTGATCATCCACATTGGCATCACTTATCTGTTGGTTCATAAGACTGGTCTTGGCTTCAAGGGAGCTGCAATGGCAGTTTCTGTGTCGTTGTGGATTGCTGTTGTGATGTTGGCAGGGTACGTGCTTTGGGCGAAGAAATTTAAGGATACGTGGAACGGGTTTTTGTTGGAGTCGTTTCATCATGTTTTGTCTAACTTGAAATTGGCTCTGCCTTCTGCGGCAATGGTGTGGTAAGTGACATTTGATGTTCTTCCCTTCTCAATGCCTGTTATCGGAAAAAATAAAAACGGAAAACCAAACAACAATCAAAATGCCCCATCCTTGAAAACCCCAAAAAAATTTGTTTAAAACATTTTCCTTTTTCTTTTTTTTCTTTTTTTTGTTGCTGTTGTTTTCAGCTTGGAATATTGGGCTTTTGAGCTGCTGGTACTATTAGCTGGATTGATGCCAAATTCAGAAATAACCACTTCATTGATTGCAATGTGGTAAAGTTTCTCTTCTTTCCTGCCTTTTTCTGGTTTTGACATTCCTAAAATTGTTTATGATCATGCTTAACCCTCTTTGTCTTCTTACATTTCAGTGTAAATACAGAAGCTATAGCCTACATGATTACTTACGGACTCAGCGCTGCTGCAAGGTTAGTTGCACCCTTCTCCGATCCTACACTGGCAGGATCCTCATGAACTAGGCTGCCCTTTTTTACAATATTCTAAGTTGGCAACCAAAACTTTCTGTGACAGCACAAGGGTGTCAAATGAGTTGGGAGCAGGCAATCCAGACCGAGCCAAGCTTGCCATGGGGGTCACCCTCAAGCTCTCTATATTTCTTGCTCTTACTGTAGTTCTGGCTCTAACCTTTGGGCATAATATCTGGGCTGGCTTCTTCAGTGATAGCTCAACAATTATACAAAAATTTGCTTCGTTGACCCCTTTTCTTGTAGTTTCTATCATATTTGATTCATTCCAAGGGGTCCTATCAGGTTAGATCCCTAGTTTCATCAATGAAGATCTGTGTGTGTTTTTAGCTAATCAAAGTGATATACAAATGTGTATTGTGCAGGGGTGGCCAGGGGATGTGGTTGGCAGCACTTGGCAGTGTATATTAACTTGGGAACATTCTACTGCATTGGCATGCCCATTGCCATTCTTCTTGCGTTTAAATTCAAACTATATGCTCAGGTGATAATTTCACAATCCACACACATTGTAATTGTTACAAAACATTAGAAAATGCAAAAAGGCAATTTTCAAGAAATATTTTCTGATGAAACAAACATCTTGTTGTTTGCTGTACAAGCTCTCTTATTATTTTTTGATGTTTGATTTTATTGCAGGGGTTGTGGTTGGGCTTAATCTGTGGTCTGTCATGCCAAGCTGGCACTCTATTGTTGCTTACAAAGTTCTCTAAATGGGCTAAGATGGAGCTTTCTGAAAACAGCCATGAGGAGAGCCCTGTTCTTGTTTAATAACCATAACCATAACCATAACCATACATTCCTCGCATATTCTTCTTGAGGATCAAAATAGAGAAATAATCAAATCTTGATCAGCAATCTTCAAACTTAACTCAATTATTTTTGTCATGTAATCAAACATATATATATGGTTGTAACTGTAACTTATTATTCACTATCCTCCATACAATTTTGGGTATTTATAAGAATAAAACAAAATAAATTAGTGGAATTGTGTAATTCCCCTAATGAATAGCAGTTCCAAGTGACATATTAAGAAGGGTTATGTTGTTCGTCTTCTTTTTGTTGGAAATGGTTTGTGTGAAAAACAGGATTTTTCCTAAACTTTGGCCTATATTTGAAGTGAGACTCACGCGTCAAAGTTGGCGGGTCTATGTACAATGCATTCTTTGTTGTGTGACGATTCACATCATATATTTGATTGCTCAAAACTATTATCAGGTGAATAGGAAATCGATGCCAAAGAGAGCTCCATAAAAATAGTGTTTTGGTTAGTTTTCTGTAAGGGATGAAGAAAAACTTATCCCACATTGTTTGGGTAGGAAAACATGTTATGGGTTTGTAAGCCTTGAGTTTGTATCTTCGGAAGGGTCCCAAGGGTCACTTAAGTTTTGTGGAGAGGAGGTTATAGGTAAAGTGGATTTTGATCCAATAGACTCAAAAACAACAACACTTGTGCCATTACCTGCCTAGGTGTGAGGTTGGGTTGGGCTTGGTGTTATTCAGTCCAATGTTTATCTTTTTGGGCCAAAAACTTTTGAATTTTATTTTTTTATTAAATTTCTACCATTTGAAATTTAAATTTCTATTCAAAATTATTTTCGAATTGACCCCAACGTTTCTGAACGTTGTTGATAGTTTGGTCCAAACGCACCTTTTTAGCTTCCCTCCAACCCGAATAGGTTCCATGTTTATTCGTTTTTGTCTTGAACAACCACCATCTCTTCTATAAATAGGCAGTCCTCCATTTGTTCAATTCATTCAATTTTTCTGTTTCTTCTTCCTGCATTCATTTCTTTGGGAGAGCATATACACAAAATGCAGGGCCGGCCTTGAGGCATAAGCCACAAGGCCATAGCCTAGGGCCCCTCAAAATAGACTAAAAAAGGCCCCCCCCACCTATTATAATTTAGTGTAATATATCAGGTATGTTTTAAGTCTAAAAAAATTAAAAAAGGCCCATACTAACTTAAAATAAATTGACCTATTAAAAATTAAAAGGTCATTCAAAAAAATTAGCATTGTTGTCCATTGAAAATAGACCCAAAAAAAGGGTCTCTTATTATAGTTTAGTCTAATATATGAACTATGTTTTAAGTCCAAAAAAAATTAAGAAAGGCCCAAATTAACTTAAAATAATTTGATCCATTAAAAAATTGAAAGGTCTATTTAAAATAATTAGCACTGTTATTCATTGAAAATGATTTTGCAAAAAAATTAGATTATGCAAGTATGATTGATTTATTTGCTTTGAAAAATACAAGAAGATTGAGGATCAAGCGATACTTATTAGTTATTGTAATGTAATGCTAAGCATTTTTTGTGATTTTGACACAAATCTTTTGTCCTTTACTTTCAATTTTTTTTTCATTCAATGAAAAAAAAAATGTGAAGAGCCCCAAAAATTTATTAGTTGATTATTGGCTTTGGACCCTGGAAATCTCATGGCCGGGCTTGACAAAGTGTGCTCACAGGGCAATTAGTTTGTGTTGCTACTAGTTGTCGTTGATCATTTTATCTTGGGAGATAGATGTAACGCCCCAAAATAAATAGACATTCTACTCCATTATAATATTGCCAACAAGCGAAACACAATAACAATATAATTATGTAACATCGTTTTCAACACATGCCTTAGTACGTTCCTGTTAGACTTATTTATTTTGATGAGTTATTTAATTATGTTTTAATTTATTTGAAAGAGAAAAATAGAATCAAAATTTATTTTGATGATTTTATGTTTTAATAAAATCAAAATTTATTTTGTCTCATTATTTCTCACCTAAACCTTTATCCTAAATGTTGTTAGAATGTATTTAATATTTGATTAAATCAGGAGTTCAAACAGCCCAAAACAGAGGTTCAAACAGCTCAACACAACAGCAGTTTAAAAGGTTCAATAGGTTCAAGTGGAAGATATTCAAATTTGTAATGATAGAGTGGAAGATATTCAAATTGATAATGATGGAAGTACAACGGCTATAAATTCAAATGACTACAATGGCTATAAACGGCTATAAATTCAAATGAATACAACGGCTATAAACGGCTATAATTTTCATTATATATACCAAAGCCTCTAATGTAAAAAAAACTAGAAAATATTCTTTGATCTATAATCACTCACATCTATTCTCAGAAATTATACACTGAGCCATATAGCTTTAAGCACATCGTTCCTATGTGAGATTTACAGAAAAATCAAAGCTTCATTTTATATATCTATCTTTGAGAGATATTTATTGTAAGCTTTCTTTGAAAGCAAAAATACCATTTCATCTTGTAAAAGTGTTGCAAACACTGCATTCTTAAAATCTTGAGAGTGATTGTGAATCACCTAAGATTTGCAAGGGTTTTTAAGATTTGCAAGGGTTTTGGCTTGTGAAGTCTATGTAAAATCCATGGAGGATTGCTCAATTTGTAAAGAGGTTGCTAGCACCCCTGTGAAGCTAGAAGATAGTGAAAAATCTCAAGTGAAGCTTGAGGAGTGGATGTAGGCTTGGTTGAAGCCGAACCACTATAAATCTGTTTGTCTCATCTTTCCTAATCTCTTTACTTTCCTACTACTGCTATAGCTATCTAATATTCATGTGTTAATCATTTGATTTACCCTGTATGTTAGTTATACTTCATTGTTATTTTGCTTGATCATTTACTACTAAGTTCATCATTGTGCTTGTTAATAATTTGTTGTACTAGTAGTTAATTTTATTGGGATGTTATTAATTTTAATTTGTAGAAATCTAATTCACCCCCCCTCTTAGGTTGTTTTTTGGGTAACAGTTCCTTTAGTTCTACAACATAAATTTTATCAATGATGAATAAAACTAAATTATTACAAGTTAATGCCTCAAAAGGCTACAAATTTCCAAGGCCTTACTCGGTTACAGCAAATGAGTCATAACTTAACATAAGAAAGCTCGTGGCTTAAATTATAACAAATAACCAAGGAAAACAATAAATACAAGCCTCAAGCTCTAGCATCCTCCCAAGTCATTACCTTTTCGGAGGCACCTGAAAGTTGTTTCCCTCGTAGAATGAGCATAAAGCCTAGTAGAAATAAACTTAATGACATGCATGAAGATTAATAATGTCATAAGATGAATGCACGTGAAATGTCATTGTAAAACATGCATTTTCTCTCTTTGAAACAATGTAATGTGAGATTTTCAAAAAATCTTTCCAAGTCAACGATATTCTTTCAAAACAATCAAGTGGTAAATATAATAAATAAATCTCGAGGGCTAGTATTCATAATAGTAACTATACAAGTCACTATGTCATTTTTACCGGTATTAATCGGAAGGCTTGGCACCTACCGCGCGAGTTTTAGGTCTTACACTAAGGATACACAGGCCAACTTAATTATGCTTTAATACCCCATCATAGCTTTATCATTTTATTTACCCTTTTAATGATACAACACATGCATCTCAAAACAACAATATACTTTCCGAAACATTGAAATCCCTAGTTATAAAGCCATGATATGCACAATGTGATGTATGATTTGTAAACACTTCCATTTCCTAATCCACATGCAGTTTCTATAACAATCGGTACAACCCTTCATTAGTTGCTAAAAACAATTATTTCTAATTAAAAGACAACAACAATAATAATATTCCAAAATTATAACCAAATCGGAATCTTAGTGATTTATACAAAATCTCATGATTCCCAAAACAACATTCATGCTCCTCACGAGCCTTGTGAATCTCAACCAAAAATATACAATTTTTCTAAAACCGTTCATATCGTTTCCAATAAAATCACTATTTCAAAGGAGTAAATAATACTCAGTATTTTTTAATAATTCAAAACATTTCTCAACCAAATCTTATTTCAATCAAAATCCTACAACCATTCCAATTCCATATTTTTCCATAAAAACGCCGAAAATCCTAGTTTTTTATTCACTTTTAAGAAATCCCTTTTAAACCAAATTTTCTTCAAAAACTCATAACACAATAACCACTAGGTTACCAATCCCAAATCATAACTGAAAACAAATCTTTTTCCCCAAATTTGTGCATTAATAAATATATATCCAAATCTTTTTTTTTTTTTTTTTTTAAACCCATAACTAACATGAAAACTGATAGCTAACAAAATAACATTTAATAAAGCTAAACAACATGCACACCATTAAGAAAATCCCTACCTCATTCCAGAAGAGAAGAAAGCCCAAAATCCCTAAAATCCAACATCGATGAAAACACAAACTTTTAAGATTAGAACGAAACCCTCGACGAACTCTATCTTTTCTCCAAAGGACAAAGGTGTAGAGATCAAAGAGTGAAGGTATATTTGAGGTTTAAAGGTGAGTTTTAGAGAGAGAGTAGATCTAGGTTTTTTTAAAAATGTTTTAAAGAGAGAGAGAAATGAAAAAGTGACTTTTATGGACTGAAATACGTGCAGACCGCTTGAGCGACCAAAACACCGCTCAAGTGACTAGACATAATAAGAGAGACTGCTTGAGCGAACAAAGTACCGCTCAAGCGCACAACGACATACTCTCAAAAGTTTTGTAGACAAATGCTAACTGCTTGAGCATAAGAAGGACTACTCGAGCGCAAGAAACACCACTCGAGCAAAGAACATCACACTTCTAGTATTTTTGTAAACTTGCAAAAACACTGGAAGGTCTCAAAGACCGCTCGAGCACAAGAAAGTTCGCTCGAGCAAACGAGCCGAATTCCGGACAGCAAATCTTTTGAAAAACTAAGTCCCAACCTGTTCTGAATGTAATAACGACACTCTAACAATCAAACTCAACAAGGAATAAGATGAATAAAGATATGAACAACCAATCAAGACAAGAAATCTCGGATCCAAAACAATAAATGGGTCGGGTCTAAACCGGAATCGTTATAATAGACATCCATATTCTGAAAGTACCATGGAGAGGACGAATTTGTCTTAAAAAAACAGTGTTGAACGCTGGACTTGATATGTTTTTCAGAAAAATAATTCTATAAGTACTTTTCATTTTCTAGTTTTTTCTTTTCTATTTTCCAGATTCTGTTT